CCGGCCGCCGCCCGGGAGTACGGGCGGAGCCCGGCCTCGGCGGGCGGGTCGGTGGCTGCGGGCGGGAGCAAAAGGCGGGCAGTCGGGACCCGAAATGCCCAGACAGTGCCGGCGTTTGAGACACCGCGGCCTTCAGCACGAGCGCGGTGAAGCCCGAGTTGTTTTTTTTTTAATTGGCGGATTTGTTTTGTAATTGATAAAATCATAACGTACTGATCAATTCAGAAGAAGGTGACCCAGGGCGGTGTGCAAGTACCCTCGGAAACAAGCGGCCGCCTTTTCTGCAACGCTGGTCCAAGCAGAAGAAATTCACGAACGATGAAGTGCCGACAGCCACACCGGCCCGAGGGGCAGGTACTGAGGCGGCAAAGCGGCACCCAGGCGGAACGAATGGTAAGTTTGCTGTCAGTACCGCCTAAGATAAAGCCTGCAACCCCGTGTGTGACCTTGGAACTACCTCAAGCTACAAGTCCAAAGTAAAAAAACCAAACCAAACAAAACCCCCAAGCCAAAAAGCTCTCGGTATTAAGCATTCATTGATCAGACAACTCTTAAACTGAACAAATACAGAAACAATTTTCAGAGGCTATCAGGCATAATATTTAAAAAAAAGGGGGGGGGGGGCACTACACCATCATCCCAAATATCGCACAAGCCAACAGAGAAGTAAGACAGTGAAGGACAGGAGTTGAACGCAGGAGCTGCTCCATGCTGTTAAATGCCATCCATGCTTTGTAGGAATGATGCAAAAACAGACTTCCCTGTTTACCACTGACCACACCTACACTAAAAGCTTTTCCCCTTGTGGTCTTCCACATTCAGTCTACCTTCCCTGAACGTATTTTAGCAAGCTACATTTATATGAAGCCTTTTCCTGATAGTACGTTCACAATCTCCTATTTCAGTAGAAACAATGTCCCTGCAGAGATACTTGTCAAAACCCATTCAAAACCCTTGTTTATATTAAAAAAAAAAAAAAAAAAAGGAAAAACCTAGACAGCTTTGATAACACCATATGTTTCTTTCTAGTAGTCGCATCTCAGTCCAAAACAGAGTAGCTTACCCTTGGGAGACAGAGAGAGGAGGCTTCGGCATCTTTGGTTTATTCAGTACTTAAGTCTCTCAGTCAACAACAGGGCCAGCCAGAGCCATCTGCTGCAGCGGGTTTTGTGAAGCACACTGTACAAAAAGCAAACACTTTCCCCAGGCCGGCCAGCTGCCACCTGAGCTTGGATTGGTTGATGCCCCTACAGGTGGCCAGGCCATTTAGTTTTTATCAGCAATTTTATTATCTGTTCAGTCCTTGAGTTCTAACGTTTGACGGAAACACACTTCATTCCCGCTCTCCCCCTCAAGCATATTCTTGAGTAACCAACAATCTGGTTGTATGCAGTTTTCTTCTCTGGTCTCTTCTGTGCTTCAGTTTCAGTGCACTTCTCGTCTTGGGTGGAAGCAATACACACCACAGGCTCACCAGCACAAATGGAATCTACAGATACAAGGACTCCATACGTTGAGCTGTAAGAGGCTTAAAGCAACTAACTGAAACCAAACCAATGTGGAACGTGCATTTTGGCAGCTAAGAAGGTGCATCTCTGCTGGCCTGCGAGAGACTTGAAAGTCATGCCTGCATCCCAATTGTTTACCTGCATTTAACAGTGAAGCTGTTTTAGTGCTGTTCCTTTTCTCCTTCATAGGGTGATAGTTTTGCTGTGATTACTGGTCAGTGAGATCCCCAACTAATTCAAAAGTTACAAAGGGACAGTAAGACAGGAATGCCTGAGACTACACCTGGAGCTTTGATTTCCCCCCCTTATCCAGTGCAGAAGGCGCCTGACCAGACTACATTTATAGTTATTTCTCAGCTCCACCTGTCCCAGCTCACCTCTCCTCCAAACTAGAGCCCCACTAGCATTTGTTTTTGTACGATAGGTCAAGTCAGACTAAGGAAGTATCTAAGCTGCAAACAGGAGAGGGACTGAAAGGCTAGTTAGGAGCTACTTTTCAGCAATTCAGATATAAACAGTCTCACTGCAGTACTAGCAATAAAAATCAAGTTCACAGTCATGTTACTAGGATTGTGCAAAGGCAAATGCTCAGATACAGTTCAGATAAACCCTCCCCACAGAAGACATTTGGCTATTGCATGCAGGGGATGCAGAATTAAAAATTAGCTGGGGAAGATAGATCCCTGGGCTGCTTCAGTCCAACAGCTTTGAGAGGAAATCTTCTGCATAACACACTTTCATATTTTGCTCTTCCCTTCCTGCCTTGTTACAGTCTTCCCCACATCCTACATTTCTACCTTATGTTGTGCCTGGCAGATGTGGAAGCAGATAAATTCCGCTTATCACATCACAGCTCCAAGCTCTGGAGCACAGCTGCAGCCAGCACTAAGAACATGGGGAACTTTTAAGCAAAGCGAGGGAGCTGTGTGCAAACCAAAGCATGTGTGACAGCTGAAGACAACCAAACTGTTGAATTTCCTCTTTTAGTTTATTTCTTTTATTCCTGTTTCCCTCACTTATCCATGCTACCATTTTCCTCATTTCAGCACCAAAACCTCCTTCCCTGCTTCCAATTTGACAAGATAGTGCTGGGAACCTTGTTCTGTTCCAAGAAGAGCAGAGGAAGGCAACTCCCACCTCACCATTCCCCTGGCTACTGTGAACAAAGAGCAAACTGTCAGTGAGAGCCTGTAGTGTCAAGAGTTACTGGAGAAGGCACTGAGGTCCTTTAAAAAAAAAAAAAAAAAAAAAAAAAAAGAAGAGAAAAAAAGATAAAAAGGTCACCGCTGTAGCTATAGGCCTGCAGCACAACACCTGCATCCCTCTGTCATCAAAAGGAGAGACTATATGAACTGTATTTAGAGTCATACCCTATGAGTTTAATGTGTAGATGATATTTAGCTTATGCCTATACCCCTGAGAGCAGCAGGGGCTTCTCCACCTTCATTCAGTGCTGGCTGAGTCACAGTTGCCATCTGTCACTCCCATAGCTCCGCACATTGGCTTTGCCACCCTGCAAGAGAAAGGAGCTACAACTCTATCACCTGCTCTCTTACAGATTAAGGGGAGCTTACATGACCAGACAGAAGCTTTACATTTCCTACCTGTACCTGAGGGATCACCTAACACAGATGTATCTATGTCTCTCTCAGGGCTGGAAGAGGGGGAATGGCTTGAAAACCAAGTCCGTAATGATCCTTAATTGTCTACCCTGAACGTTATCTCACAGAATTCCCATCTGCATCACTCATGGACAACCAGAGCCCCCATGGGCCAGGATATGCACAGAAGATCGCAAGGCCTGGAAGGGGGAAAAAAAACCCAACCAACCAACCAACCATACACCAAAACAGTTCACTTCCATCATTCAAGTCCCTTGAGATGAGGAATCAAATTAATTTCTGCTTTACATGCTTTCTACATTTGGAACACAAAGAGCCAAACCAGGAAGTTCTCCTTAAGTTTGTAAGCCCTCAGGCAGAAAAAAGGCTGGATACAGCTGTTGCACATTCACATTGCTACAAAGGAAGAGTAGAGCAAGCAGAGTCCAGCCCCCAGGCTGCGTCTTTCCACTGCAGCAGGCTAACTACACGGCTGGTATTTGTGAGGTGTGTGCATTTATAATTGGAGACTTGCTATGCTATTCCAGAGCATTAAGTGAAACGCCTTCGTACTGCTTCTACAATGAACACATGTAAGACATACAGAACACAGCATTGCTGCCAATTCCTTCCTCTAATTTGAGAGGTCAGTCATGTGGTTTCAAGTAACAACATACCCAAAAAAGGTTTAAGTACAGTTGTTTTGTGATACAGGAGGTCCCTTACCAGCTGCCTTGGGAATTTTCATGGTACACACAACACCTTGTTAATGTCTGTCCTTTTCAGGGAGGGAAGAGGAAAGGGAAAGGTGTTTTCAAGGCTGTATGCAAAATACATTCTTGAATAAAGACAACTTCTCATCCTCTCATGGTTTAATGATTGCTGGAAGGAGATTCTACACCTTCTGAAAGGTCAGTATGTCTGTACCCAAAATGTTACACCAAACAGCAGTACATTGACCTGCTCCTGCTGTAGTGAGTGTTCTTCAAACAAAGTCTTCGAACAACTTTCTTTACTTTTTCAAGCATGTTTTCAAGTAAAGCCCTTGTAGGTTGTATCTAGGGTTTTGATAACAATGCTTATCAGGATTTAGTTTCTAAAAGGACATATGTTCTTTCTTGGCCAAAGGGAAACTTCGTGTTAGTGCAGGACTGCGAAGACACACGAGTGTTCTCCTTCTCAACCATGATACTTTTTCTTGAAGTCCCGAAGAACCAAAATTCTTCCAAGCAAAAAAGTTATAGAAGGCCAAGAAGTCTTGGTGAAGCTCATGGGAAAAGTCACCAGAGCTTTAGGGAGGAAGAAGGAGAAGAAAACATTTGGCTCCCCCTTATAAATAATTTAAGGCAACCCAAAAATATCTGTACAAACACACATACAAACAGAAAAATCTCATATTCCACAGATGTTGAGAGATTCAGCGACCTCTTGGGGGCACAGGTGGAGGATAAAAGCCTTCACAGCTTACAGGCCTATAAAAAGACAGAGTATACAAATGAATTTTAAAAAATAGTAGAGAACAGGGTTCTGGAACAACACATTGCATGCAATAACATCATATCTAAGAATACTGTACAAGCAATAGACATACAAGAAGAAAATCAGGCTATAAGTGATTCAGTGACAGAGCAGATGCCAAGGTGCCAGAGCCCTGTTCCTGTCCAAGTTATTTCTTCTGTTCTTCAGCTGCAGTTACTCCACTATTACTGGAAAGAGATGATATAATACTTGGTTGGAGTAAAACTTTGATAGTATAGTAGCTTTCTCCTGAAAATTAGATGAAGAGCAATAGGAAGAGATCAAAAGATTCCAAATATTTTTAAACTAACTACAGATAAATTCCAGCTATATTCTTGCCAGAGCCAAGCCAACATAGAGAACTTACTGCACCCACACATTAGTAATTACTATTTTAACAGTTAGAGAATTTTATTAGCATCTGTACTTAGATAAGCCTCTGGGGCCTGGACTTCATAGACTTGCACTGGTTGGACTAAAGGAATGTTTACAAGTTACTTAAGTTTGTGGTGGTCTGATCAAATCAAGGCAAAACCCCTCAACACCTTTTCTAAAACCAGTGCAGTTCTTACTTTGAGGCCAATCACACATGTAAACAAGTGCGCTTTGGAGAGATCTGAAATTTGTAAAAAGAAAAAAAAGTCCAAGGGAATGCCAAAAGGGAATTCCCTCTGCACTACACTTTGTATCTTCCAAGAGGATCTTCTCAGGAGGATCAGGTACTAAATCTCTGCCAGAGGCAGGATGCTACTCCACCTGGCAATGTCTCATGGCAAGCACTGTGTGCTTCAATAGTGCTGTCCCTTGCAGCGTGTGCACCGCAATAACAGCGCTGTCATAGGCATGTTACTGACTAGGAAACCAATTCCACCAAGTATTACAGATGAGAAACAAGGATCTCACGATTCCTAACTGTGTGTGTTTATAAATAATAGTCTGGTAGATTTTGTTGAAAGACAGATTCACTTCCTGCCTTGCTTTCTGCCCAAGGCTTCCATATTGCTTCACTGAAAGCGCATGCTTGAGCTGCATTTTAGCTTTACCTGCTTGCACCTCGAGGAGGCACTCTGGGAGGCCTTTCTGGGAAAGGCAGCCTCTCTGCTTGGTGGGCTACTGGGCTGCGGCTTCTAGTTGTTTCTGGGACCTCGTTGTCCTACAAAATGAAGAAAAGAGGTTACAGACCAGCAGAATTTGGTTCTTGTTAGCTTCACAACAGAAGTGGCTACATTTTGCCATTTCTGCGAATGCATTGCCATCCCTGAGCTCCTTTTCTTTTGCATGAAAACAAAGCCACGTACTTAAGAACAGTGGACCAGTATATAGCAGAGGTGAGAGCTTACCTCACTGTCCCCTTCCATCCCACTGCTGACACTCAATATGCTCCGAGTGCTGGAGCGGTTACTTGCACTACCTGGAGTAAAAGCAAGAGAAAACAAACTGATTATTAAATCCTGGTGATTTAACTGCAAATCACTAACTCAGGACTCCTTCTAACCTCATGTTTACCTCTTGCACACATAATTTAATGCTCATTTAGATTAATTTATTTCCACTGTTATTTTTCACATGTTCAGGATCCAAACAATGGCACTTCATATAACACAGACCACAGGGCCAAACCATTCAGCTTTACTTTCTTTCTAGCCTATTTCTGCCCTATGTAGGTCCAGGTTCTGGTTAAATACTCACAACCATAATCTAACTGAAAGGATCCAGTGCTGGTATCAGCTGGCAAGTCAGGTAAATATTTTCATAAGTGTTATACACCCAACATTTATGTGTTTTTAAATTATCAGTCCCCATGTCCTTAACAATGGCATGGAGGTAGATGGCTCTGAGCACTGTCACACATTCAGTCCTGGAGTAAGTGACTGCTTGAGAGGTTATTGTTCCCAATAGCTGTTCACCACCTCCTCTCACAACAATCCTTACTCATCACAGGAATGTTTCCTAGTCCATTTCAAAGCTAAAAATGACAAGTTTGTTCAAACAACCTTCAGCAACCATTTATGCAAACCCATTTAACTTGCATGGACTCAGAGTAGGGAATGTTTTTGCAATCAGTCATGCCATTTCTGAAGGGCACAGCCACTCACAAACATATCCTACGGTGCTGTGGCTGGTTTCAGTCATAAATACATAATGTTCTATATGGCTGTGCAATACTGGGACACTAAACCCTATTGTTCAGAAACCTATACATTGAAATGGAGGCTAGAGAGGTTTTCTCATAAGATGCAGTCCCTCCCTAGCCTTGGTGAGGTAACTCTCATCATCAGCTGGTACAAACAGCAGCACTTAAGAGTGCTAAATACTGTGTTAGAGTCCATTCTCACAATCATGCCATGGGAAAGAGAGCCAAGCTGCACACAGTGAACTCTACAGGCTCGTTAACATCTCTCTCACAACTGCTTACAAGCAAGTTACTGGCTCAGTCAGCTGCCTCTGGCACCTACTCTGGATGTGTGCCAGCTATATCTTGCCAAGAGCCACAAAGGTAGTAACCTCATTGGGACTCAGTTTTCATTTCAAAGGACCAAAATGATCTTAATGATTTCTGCAAGAATTGCTCAGTCTGTGGTAACAGTAAGAATGCAGGGATTTAATTTGCACAAATTAAACCTAATAAAAACCAAAAATAATAAAAATGTGCAGACTGTCCAAGTCACTCAAGAGGTCCCACAGTAACCAGTGAAAAATGCTGTCTTTTATCTCCAACAATTGAGGAAACAACATGTAGAGACTGGTTCCCAGCCTGCAATATAACTGTGCCCTTAGACCAGAAAAGCACACTGCCTGCTGAGAGTCACAGCAAGGGAGCATTCTTTATTCTAAGAGAGCAGCTGCCATCTACTTTTAAGAACTGAAGATGGGTGATATGCCTTCCCTGAGAAGGCTCAAGGGAATCTTTCACTCAGCTTTCAGCTTCTCCTGCAGAAATGCAGACACAAGATGCCCAAACCACTTGAGGTACCTGGAGTTGCTTTTACAGTTTTGAGAACAGCCAGCCTTGAGGCATGCAGGGTTTGGGGTGGCAGTGTCAGTACTGGGATTCAGGAATAGAAGTCCTGTCCCCTGAGCTGACTCCAGAGTCAGGCTGGGGAATTCTTTTCCATCCAGCTTTCCTGTAGAGAGGGTGATACTCAGGGTTTGCTTACTTGTTGTGCTGGATGTGCTTTCTGTTTTCCAGTCGCCTCGCTTTAACTCCTTTTTTGGTGGGAAAATGTTTTTCCTGGGGGTGTATTCATATATTCCACATTCTGGTTTCCCTAAAGTATTATAAGAATGTCGAATGGGTACTGTAATTTCCAAATCTGGAAGGGAAAATGAACAGCTCAGAAGGGCCTATGCAAGTATAGCCTCTGAGAGACAGCTTTGCACACAAGAACAAAGTTAAACGCAATCACGTAAGGATGATCATAACTGTACGTGAATGAATCAAGATTCACTCCACAGATGTGGGCATCCTTTCCTCAGTCTGGAAAACTGAGGAGTAAAGCAACTTCCCTATGTTTTAGCCAAGAAGCACATAGATGTGAATATTAAAATATCACAGAACTACAATACACACGGTGACATTTCTGCCTGAAAAGCCTATTAATATTGTTAGCTGCTTCTTTACCACGGAATGTCAGAATCAGACTGTTACCTGCACTTTTGTCTTTTTTTTGCTTCTCCATTTGCCTCCTGGTTATGCTGTCTCGTAGACGTTTCAGATTTTCCTAGAAACATCACAAGATGTTCTTTTCAGGGCTTTGAATAAAGGAGGATATGCAGCATTCTGACAATACCAATATTATATTTCAAGCTAACTTTGCAACCAAGCTGTTACAAAGCCTGCTACACCTGGCTGAAGTCCAAACCGTGTCAACAGGTTTTAATCTATTCCCTTCAGAAATCCATGTGTGCCTTTCAGAAGCCAAGTTTTTTCAGGTGTTCACGTGTATGGTAAGATCAAGTTCACAGAGTCACTGGCAGCTGCAGATAAGCAGCATGTTTGGTTTAGAACTCCCTCTATTTTCTGTTTCCACTGTGACACTGGCACAGAAACAAGACCCACAGTCATGTAACTGCACAGTCCTTTCTGTACTAATGAACCGATAATTCTGACTGCAGGGACTGAGGAGGCTGCCACGCATCCCAGAGTGTGAGGGACAATTCAGAAAGAATTCAGGATGTCCCCACTGAAGCAAGAGGGGACACCTGGAAATGTAACTGGGAGCAAAGTCTCTTCATCATTGTGCAGCAGCATACTGTACCTTACAGTAAGGGAAGAGCGGGGGGGGTAATACTTTTCCAGCAGGGAAATATGTACAGATGTAAGAGAAGGAAACCCCAAATAGGTGGAAAAGCAGACAGAGCAATTGCTGTACCATGAGGCAAGATGTGGAGCAGAGAGTTCAAAAGCTGCTCATGGGATGGAACACAGAGCATGCCACTTTATCTCTGCTATAGACATTTACTAAAGTAGCACAGTGTTCTTTATTGACAGAAGAAGGGATTCCTCTGACTGTTTCTGGGTAGAGAGGACCCTTCCAAGTGACAATCAGGAGGATTTGTTCTGACGACTCCCAAAACAGCATCACACACCAGAGACCAGCACCTCAAGTGTGAGAACAGACTGCTGCAGCATGAACAAAGGGTTCCAAAAGAAGCAGGCAGTGGTTTTAAAGATGGAGCCCCACTCTAACTTGAGAATGTGAATTTTAAAACTATGACTGCTAGTTCCACCAAACATTATGTTGCTGCTGCCAACATAATGACTTCCTCATTCAGCTAAGCCACCCAAACACTGTGCTTTAACTAATCACTGTTGCTAGACCTTGCCCAGCTGCAACAACAGGTAGCCCTGGAGCCACCAAATACCCAGGGAAGGATCCAACCATCTACAAAATAGGACTTTAAAGCCAATGCACTATCCAGGACACTGAGTCTTCACTGATCTGAAATGGATGATAACTGACAAGCTAAATGTTCATCACAGAAGTCCCCTGCCAGCAGGTAGGTGCTAGGTGACCTTTAGAAAGGTAATTTAGCCAACTGGATTTGGCCCAGTTCCTAGTGTACAGACCTCCAAAAACTAGCAATACTACTGAAAGTTAAACAGATCTGTAAAACAGCAACCTTCTTGCTGCTGCATGGGAACAGCCCTCTGTGCCAGAAGAGAACTCTGGTAGCTGGGGGACTGTGTTAGCAGTCTTCTTGCTCCAACCAGGAAATAAATGTACCCACACTGAACAGCTTGTGATATAGACCTAGAGAGACAGCTGTATTTCTTAAACAGTGGAATAAACCTGTACCTGCTGGAAACGGAATGATTCTGATCTCTTTTTCTGGTTCAGTTGCCACTCCTTAAAATGAAGTACAGCTTCATCAACGGTGAGTATGCCCATTTTCACTTGCTCCTGTAACGTAATCAGCTGCCGTTGACCTGGGGTTTTCATTCCAGCAAATGGATCATATATGCTTGATTGAGACAGGTCCCTTACAGGCCTGACTATTGTCTCTGAAGAGAGAACACCACCAAAAATATTATTGAACTTGTGGCATCTGCCTTCCTCACTGAATACAAAGAAACTCAAGCACCCTTGATATAGCAGAGATGCAAAAAAATCAATATTACAGACTGAAAGTTTCCCTTGACCAGAAGAGGGTTTCGTCCTTATGCCATCCTGCTATTTGTCAGGGCTAAGAGCCCAGCTGACAGGTAGCCTTGTATACAAATACATCCCAGGGATAATCTCTGTTCTTAACATAGTTTAAGTGAACAGCACAAAATGTAGTCCTTAAAGTGCTCTGCTTCCTCACTGCAAAAACATCTCTCTCCTCTGCAATCCACAAAACAGAGCTTTCACCTCGGCAGTCACAAAGCTAGACTCTTCCTAGGTAAGCTGTGCAGTGTAACTCCGGAAACAGAAAGGTGAAAACTCATCCTACTGATGCTGGCTCTTTGTAACTCATTTCCAACATAAAGAGGAGTTCCCAACATGTGAGATAAAAGCTCAGACGTGGTTCCTGGCACTCTGATAGTGCACAGGATAAGAGGTGAAAGAATAAGGGCACAGTTTATGAAGTGCAGAGATCAATGGCAAGTAGTTCACTGAAGGTTAAATCCCAGGAAATAATGATCAACAGGCAGTAGCTATATCCAGAAGATCAAAAGTGGGACATCGACTCCATGAAGTAATATGAGTCACAGCATAAAAAAGGACTTCAATGATCATGATGATCCTGACTGAGGATAAACATTAAGACAGGGGATATGTACACTAAGTGATAAAAGGATACCCCCCTCACAGTCTGCAGTTATAAAAAGTTTCCAGTGTCACATAAGGTCAGAAAGGTTGGATCATTCATATAAGTCTATTATCTCCAGAGCCCTATAAAACAGACCATTCTGTCACATTTCACACAAATGAAGCTACCTCAGCAGATTTGCTTTTGGATTACTGGAAATATTTTCAGGGTGAACTTCTGACTTACCTTTCTTAACCCTTCCTCTAGGGACATAGAGATTCTCAGGTCTTTGAGCTTTCTGTGCAAAAACTGTAAAACAAACACTCTTTAGATACTGAAATGCATCTCATGGAGACAGAAGTAGCAAGGATGAATATGGGCAGCATACACAATTCTGCACTGCCTTACAACTTCTGCTACCCTACTAAGTCCAGTGAAGAAACAAGATAAGGAGTTGTACAGTAGAACTCCCCTTCTATTGACCTCAAAGAATTTAGCTCAGCCACCTCTAAGAGAAATCTGGACATGCTTTCCTCACAGTCCAGAGTCCTGTTGTGGGGTGAAGGAGGAGTCACTGAAATTGCTCTCCCACACATTACCGTAGTTCTTGTTAGAATGTTTGTGAAATATGACCAAGATTTCCAAAACTGCCTAGCAAACTAGGAGGCACAATTTTCTTCAATTTCAATTAAACACCAGCTCAGATGGAAGTATTGAGGCATAGAATCATATCCTATACAAATGCTATTGAATCAATGATACCATTACAGAGCAGCAATTAACAGCTTGATTGTGTCCTTATAATATCAGGATCTTTCCTATTTAGTTGGATTTGTTCATACCATTTGGGAGTAATCTGTTGTCCTACTGCTTTAATTAAGAGCAAGATTAGGCCAAGACCTCAGGATACAACATCCCCACATTTTCAGAGTAGGCAGAAGATGAAAAACAGATTTGAAATTGGATCCCAAAAGTAATCCAGCTCCAGAGCCAAATAATCCAGGGGTCTCAAAAATGTGTAGATTTTCTTGGCGTTTATTTGGCAACTGGAGCCCACGTCAAGGCCATTCTACAGTTGACTAGTCTACAGTTTAGGTCCTGGTACCCTACTCACTTTTGGAGATGTACAGCTCATTGTCTGGCTGTGGAGAGCTGGATTCTGGTCTTGGAACAGGAACTGGAGGTCTGCTAGCCATTTCCTGTGGAAAAGTATCTTGTTCCACTGAGTAGTATACATCTTCACCATACTGCTGGTAAACTCTTTCCTCCGAATCTGGCGCATCCATGCTACTGCCTACAACAGAGTAGAGTCTGTAAGAAAAACAACCTGGCCTCTTCACTGAACACTGGATCCCTCCACATGCACTATGTACCACATTCTTACCAAGCTTGCCACTTCACAGGCAAAAAAATCCAGTTTTGCAGTGACTTAAAGTGCCAAAGACAGGACTTGATAAAGTCATTAACATCTAGTAGCATGTAAGTGTTTGCCACTAAGCCTGTACTATCTGTTTTGGTGAAGAAACCATAGTGGAAAATCTCATAACTGTTTTTAAGAACTTGAGGAACAGTTAGTTCAATTAATTCCAGTTAATTAGCATATTATAACAGTTAACAAATCAAATGGAGCACTGGTTTCCAAAAGCTACTTGTGGTGGTCTACAAAGTACTACGGAGAATTATTCCTTTGTCTGAAATGAGCATTTACCATCAGCTGACAATATATTTGATCTCAGAACAATGCGTCTCAGAGGGACCTGGGTATGCATGTCTGTACTTAACAAGTCCAGCTACTATTATACCACCTCATCATCCCCATTCTATTCTCACTCCGAACATGACTGCAAAATCATCAAACGCTATCATACTCGATTTAAAACCTAGTTTCCCTCTGTTTGCATGCTAGCAAAAAGAATTAAGAGCCCCTGGACTAACTCCCTACTCTGTTACCAAGTCACAAATGAATACCCCAACCACTGGACTGACCTTCCTTTAGGGATGTTGTAACACTTAGTTGAGTCAATGCAATGGCACTGCCAGAGCATCTGTGAAGGCAGGGGAAACAGAAGAAGATGCTAAGAGCCCCAGACTTAATCTTGCTCTGAGTCCAGCTGGGCCACCCACAAAAAGTAAGCATGTATCCCATGGAACCTGGTGAGTCAGGAAAAGGTTTGGACAACCCAATCATGCTCAGTGAAGATATCATGGATCTAATGTCTGGCTTTGGTCAGAGAAGGCAGAGGGAGCACTGAAGATGCAGAGCGTAGATCAGGTTTGGGAGCCAGGAGTTCTTTTCCTCTTTCCAGGCTACTGTTCCTAATGGATGGACTTTTGAATAAAGCATCTACATTAAAATTAATCACTAGCTTGTGCTGCTATACTTTACACTCAGCCCCTGCCCATGAGGGGAGCATGCACCCATGTCAGGACACCAGAATTAACTCCCATCACTAAGATAAGGACAGAAGACAGCCATTCCTGAAGAGATACCAGCTGTGTGCTTCCACTCACTGGTAGGTAGGGACTGGAACTAGGAACCACTCCCCCTCTTTGGTAAGAAACTAACTGCTTTTGTGAAATCACCTCACGAGCTGATTTTTCTGTTGTGTCTCATTTGTACCCACTAAGGCAAAGCTGTCCATGTCTAACAGTGTGGACTAGCTCCTATTCATAACAGATCAAGGAGAAATCTCAAGTTCTATTTAATTGCTTTAACTGTGCTACTGCCATCCCTCTTTTCAAACAGGTCTCACCTTCTAAAAACTTGCGGAGCATTGAGTCTTTTGTAGTTAGAGAAACTTCATCTCCAGCAACTGGAGTGTCTGGTTTGGACTGAAGCATCTCTACATCTGAAAAAAATCAGAAAGATGAACCTGTTGATTATGCCCTTAAACATGTAGAACAATGTAATATAATATAATAAAATTATGTGATATTTCTGACTGGACTTTTGGTTTATGGTGAAAATCAAAGAGGAAGCCAGGCAACTGACCAGACACCTTGCCTCAAAAAAGGCTCCTAAGTTGCTGTTCCATACAGTCTGCACCAATATTTGCCAGCTGCCTGATAGTTATGCTTGAGGGTGACTAACATTGCTTGAGAAGTTCTGACAAGGCTCCAAGTAGGTGCTAAGGATTAGCTATTACTGAGAGTGTGTGGGCCAGGTGAAGGTTTTGGTCTCTGCACAGTGCTCATGAGAGGCCAGACTGAGTGGAAACTCTGTGACTTGGCAAAATAAGACATTAAGGGCAATTTGCCCGTGACACAGAAGATAGTATTTGTTTTGTTTATTGGATAAAAGTCAAAACAGCTGGCTGAGTTAATTAGCTGGACTGGAGGGTGTTTAGAGGGTCAGATGATAATTGAGACTGAGAAAGGAGTGACAGCAAACAATAAAGTACTTCGTTAAGTCAGTGTTTTGACATGAATTCTGATTTTAAAAAAAAGGGTCAACCTCATCATAACCCTAAAACTAATCCTAAAACTGAAATAAAGTGTTAGGTAACCATGCTCCTAATAATATTAAAACCAAGAGTAGTATAAATGAACTGTTGAGGTTTATTGATATATGTGAATCGCTGAGGCACATTGTGAAAATCTATTACTATGTAAACTAGATGGCTTAGGTTACATGAGAGAATATGAAACAGTTCTCTATAAATGTCTTTTTAATATTTGCTGACCTTTCTTATTTTTTTCCTGCAAAGCTGAGGAGATTATGAGAAAGGGATGAGAATATGCTAGCAAGATTTTGCTTTGCTAGAATGTTGTGGGGGTTTTTTTTAAACAATAATTGTCAAAGGACCCACTGACAGTCATGTGAATGCACCCAACCCAGCTTTAACCTTACAGGAATACCTCCAGCATAGCCAGAGCAATGCTGCATGCTATGTGGACTAACTATATCAGCAGCTTCGCAACAGCTCTGCAGTCCATGCCAAGCTGCATGCTGCTGGAGCTAATCTGCTCACCACCAACCTAGTATAAAGTTCACTTAAGTATGGCTGCACTGCATGGAAGAACAGATTTGACATTTGAGCATCCTAAAGAATCAGCACTACAAACCTGTATTTTTCTGTAGAGCGATTTTTCCACCTTGCAGCCACCTCGATTATTTTTAATGTAGCTTTTAGAAATGAACCTGTAGCAAATACAGGCCCAGAGGAAAGCCACTACTTTATGTATTTCAGGGCAGAACAGAATGTGACAGATGTGCAAAGTTCCTTTTGTTCTCTGTGGAGGGAATAGTACTTTCCCAGTTTTGACTGTGCTCTGCAGGATTACTAAAACAGCAGTGCAACAGGATACTGCAGCGTTTGTTTTCTATCACATAGTCAATGTAGTTAAATTCATCAGCTAATTAGTTCTCCTTAGAAGACATGATTGCCATCTCGCTACCCTCTTGCACATGGGCCTGTCTTGCATACAGATGAGACCTAACATCTCACCCATGTGCCAAAATTGAAGAGAAGTTCTCTACTTCATCACTGACGCCTCCTGTTCCACTTGCTGCAGTGGCTAGTGAGACAGAAGTGACAAGAAGGTGGCGCACACAAACTTTGGGTATCACAGGAAAGGTCCCCAGATTTTCCTGAGGCTATTGGGGAAAGTTGGTCTGAAGAGTTAGCAGGAAGAGGGTTAAGTAGTTCCTATATGTCAGAATCTAGTAACTAAAATATATTTATTCAAAGAGTTTCAGTTTCCCTTCGGAGGGTTTAAGGCTTCAGAAAGGAGCTCAACCAACCTGTGAACAGACAGGCATACAGAAGACAAGTTATGACCTACAGACCCTTCACAACAGCTAAAATATCCATGCGTGGGCACCCTTTAGAAAGTAACAACCCCCTTTAAAGATTTGCAAACAACAGAAGCCAGGTATTCCTGTGCATGAAGCAAGCTACCTCTTTACAGACACCAGTCCTTTATTATGCAAGACAAAGGCTACAATGTGTTGGCATAAATCACAACTCAGAACTTTATAAGCAGTTATATTTTTGTGCACAATTCTCTCAGTTTGTTCAAGGATGACAAGGAGGCTGCTGTTTCTTGCATTAACTACAGAAAAAATAAAATTCAATGCAGACAGTGTTGAAAGCTTGGTCTCAAGACAATAAAATGGTAGAGGAAGGGGAGGATATGCAAGAGAGTAGAATAAGGGCATAACAACTTATATGTGAACGAACATCTACTCTTTAGATGTTGGAGGTCTGCAAATTACAGGACAACAGATTTTAGTCAGCTGAAAAGTTTCTAGGATAAAAGATTAAACCTCTGCATGAAACTCACACTATCTAGGGTCTGAGTGTCCTCACAGTTCATAAATATGGAAACAGTGCTAAGAGTCCAGACTTGTTGCCACCAGCCCTTGGCCACTGCCACTGTTCTGACCTTGGACAGAGGAAATACAGCCTAATTCTTTCCCCAAGTAAAACAGCATAATAACACATACACAAACCAGGCAGTTTAATCTTCACACAAACAAAACAGCTTTTCAGCACTTTCAAGAGTCCTTGCTCTCAGAGTCCCTCCTGCATACAACTCCAGCCTACTCAAAATACTCTGTTTTGCAAAAATCAGCAGGAGTTGCTGGTGAAAGAAGAGCAGAAAGAGCAAAGCACTTTATCTGATGCTGTAGTTCATACTACCAGACTGATATGATGGAGGTAACTCTCCCTTTTTGCTATTCAGCTGCTGTTTGTTACAGTGTGTGAGTGACTCAGCTAAATGACATTTACCTGCAACCTGTACCAACCTGGAGCATATTGTGGAAAACTGTGTTTGACTTTACAGGTATCTGAAAAGCGTAATAAGAGGGAAGTGTTCTTCTGAAGCGGGAACAATTAGATTAATCATAAGAAATTAAATAAGGCACTTCAATCTCATTATTAAAGAACAGCAAACAAGGTAACAGTAGGAGCTAGTTAAGTTCCCACTGATTTGTTAGGAGTACTTTATGATCTACACTGCTCAGGGCATTAAGACCTACCTGGGAGAGAATGCTCTCCTCCAGCAGAAGAGGAGGCAATGTTCTGTAGATTAACAAAACCTTTTCCTTTTTTTTTTTTTTTTTAATTCCATCATTTATCTCAAAACTTAAAGGGACAACTAGCAACTCAACACAGGTGTGTGCAACTCATGCAGCATCAGCTTAAGTAAAATTGGGCCCTTGCACAGCTTCTGCACTTTCTCTGTAAATGGCTCCCCAGGACCAAAGGCAGGGAGGAAAAAACAACACATAAAAATGCATTGAAAAATCAGAATTGGGATGAAGAATACGAGAACTAACAGAACACTCCAGTATTCAAGTATTTGCTACTACTTTTAACTCATTACAATGGCTCCAGTCCTGTGTTACCTTATTCTCAAACCAGTTCCTGCCAGACAAATTGACCCTGTGGTATCTAACCTTCCTTTGATCAGTCTCTGAAGAACTGTGGTGGAAGAACATCTTTATCACAATAAATGGGCATGCTGCCACAGTATGGCTACACTTAAAATAGCCCAGGTATTGTCCTCTACACCACAGCCATAACTACTCACTTAAGGGCTACTCTGACCTGGAGAAAGTACCTCAGTAGAATTGATTATGATTTCCTAGGGAGTTTTTCATCCTCGCAAACTTTTAAGCCAGTACGAAAGTTTGAAGCCTTATTTGTGATGGCAGTTCTAAACCAGCCAGCATTCCCACTAACTTCAGTGAGGGTTTGCCTGTGTGCTGGTATTCTAAATAATATTGAAATACCTTCACTTTGAGACAACCAATCTAAGCATCGAGCATTGTGATATAGAGAACGAACTGCTAATTGCTTAATGATTGTCTCTCTGTAACTTTACATACCAAAGACTAGTGCTCGTCAAGGATTAAGCCTGTCAGAGACTGGTACTTGGGAGTGATGAGCAAGAAGGAACCATGAACAATCACAAAACTTAATTAAATGTTTGATAAATTTACGATCTTGTCGAGAAGGCTCAAGTAGAGGCCTTGCTTGAATAGACAGGGCCAGAAAAGATAAGAACTCCTGCCTTTGTTCTCGTCCTTGTAGATAATTTAGCTTAAACTAACCATATGGTTTTTACACCACTACTGAGAACTTAGATAAGAACACTAACGAGCAGTGATGTATTAAAACATGTAAAAGACCATACTGCACAGAATCACCTGAGAAGGGTCAAATAGCGGACAAGTGAGGAAGACTATGGAAGACCACCGGAGGACTCCTGAAGACCACCAGAGACCTTCAATGCGCCTGCGTAAAGGACATTTGCATATGCTAATAGTTTCCCGGAAAACTAATGAATATGTATAACATTTCTCGGAAATCTAGTGAATATGTATATAGAACATGTATTTAACCTGCACAATTAGACCTGACGGTGTGCACGATAGGTGGAGCGATCCCCTGTGCATCCAGCGCTGCCAATAAAGAATACCTACTTAATAGTTAATCAAACTATTGAGTCAATTTCTTTGAATCAATTGTGCCAATTTAACCTTACCTGTTACAAGAGAGGTAAATTTTAAGCACTGTTCAGACAAGCTGTAAATATTCTTCAGGCAAAGACTAACAGACTACATAAGAAAAACAGATTTTCAGTAGAAGACTCCTGAGTGAAAGGTAACATTGTGTGCAGGAGCAATAGGCTGGGAGAACCCCAGAAGAAGCAGGAAGCACACTCACATTCCCTGTTGAGGTATTACAGATAAGCCATATATAGCATCTTGCCAATGAGGAAAACATTTTAAAACACAGACTCATTTGGCTCTGCTTTTCAGCAAAGGAATCATAAGTACTTACTTTAGGAACAGCCTGGGTTTTTACCTTTCTAGACCTACTAGCCCTGCAGAGCCTGCAGCACATTTGCACACCAGTAGAACTTTCTGGTGCTGATCGCAGAGACCTCTGTCACCCTGCTGATGCAGCTGTGCTCGCAGAAGATTCCCCTAAAGGACATATGCCTGCTGGGCCTTTGCTGCTGAGGAGGCTTAAGGAAAGCCGCCTGACTTCGGCTTCAAATGCACAACCTCTCCCATCCCATGGCAACTTTTCCTAGTTCTTCATCTCCATGTCTGTCACCCAAGCAGCCTCTGTTTTGTGTATTCATCCAAAACACCAGCCAAACTCCCTCCTGAGATCTGTCAATCAGAGTAAGTGAGGGCAGGAAAATCTGTGTACTTGAACTGTTTAACTTAATGTGGCTTGTTTGACAGAAACAGGCAAGGGGACATGCACACAAGCAACTGAGACAGGAGACTGAGGGAGGTGGTGATCTTCAGTAGGGAAGAAGAAACAAGCATCTTTAAACAATTAGTTCTTCCACCAACACTCTGCAGGGCTGACGAGTTTTCTTGACAGGAAGCAATTCTCACCTAAATCTGAACAAATGAGAATATTTTCAGAAAGGCTTTTCAGAGTCCAGTTCAAAAGTTGTAAATTACGGGGAGCTTGATTTGCATGCACAAAAGAAAGGCATATCCCCTGCATAGCTTCTGGGAGATCTGGACATTTCAGGGGTGGAAGAAAACAAGCTGGGCTTTGTTATTTTAAGCAGGGGTTTTGCCCCTCCGCAGACTTAGTCAATCAACCCCATTCAGAGGTGCACTGATTGCAGGCAGAGCTTCCAAACATCTAGAAACTCTCACCCCCATTGTTGCGAACAACAGCAGCTTTGTTCCTTAGGAATCCAACCAGCCTTACTGCTTATCTCCACCTGAAGGCAGAACAATCCTGGTTTTGGTAGCAAAACTATCCCTGCAGCAGCCAAACAAAACATTGCAGAGAAGAGTTTATGATTTCAGGCAGAGAATTGACCAAATCTTCTGGAATCCTTAATCAACACAAATGTGTTTTATAACATCGTTTAATTTAAAAGAGGAGAAAATCAGCCAAGGACAGATAAAGTGTGTAAGCTAAAGTGTTTCAGTAAGAAAGCTTTTCCCCTGAGGCAGCACACTTAAAACTGCAGGAACACTGGAAGTCCTTATGCAGGTACTTAAACTATAGCAAGCTAAATTCTCTGCTCATCATGGGAATCATAAAATATATCGGTGGGATGAAGCCAGACCAAATAGGCAGATAACTAGGAATACCAAATTTACAACTGCTTAACATAGGTGCTTAACCTGATATTCGCAATCAGACTCACTGAATATTAATGGAATGGTGAAAAAGTTAAACATCTGCATATTTATCAGAATTAGCTCTATATTTTTAGCAATAAACTAAGTGGATTAGAATAATGATTTTTCAATTATAATCTTTTCAGTACATGTATTTCTAGATGTTCACTTTCTTTTGTTCTCAAGCTGTTGAGGTAGAAGGTCAGCTCTTGTTTTTCAGTTTCCCAGTCATCAGTAAAATCACATCTTGCATAGTGTTCTTTTCCCACAGTGTCTGTAAGTCAGAGTGTCCCTACCTCCCTGGATCTCAGGAGGGAGAAGTAGGACATGGTAGAAAATTTGGTCTCTTCCAAATGCTAATTCACTTGCTCAGGGTTTAGTGAGTCCTCAAAGCACCGAGGAAACTGCTCTTGTGAGACGGGGAACCAAAGAAAGGTTTAGAGCAATTTTATCAGCCAGCCAACATCAGAAACAGAGCATGGTCTCCTTGTGGTGAGAGCAGGAAAGCTATAACCAGCCCTGAACTCTGAAACTCAACTGAGGTGCTACTATGTATAAGAGAAATGGATCAGCTTAGGCCTCTTGGACAGAGGGTCTGAGCAACCTGATCTAGTTGAAGATGTCTCCCCTCACTCATGGGGTTGGACTAGATGACCTTTAGAGGTCCCTTCCAATGCAAACCACCCTACAATTCTGTGATTCTATGAATATACATACAGAGATCTTCTGGGGCACCAGGGACAAATCCAGCCATGGATTCATAAAGCTCTTCATCGGAGCCAGGATTCAAGGAACATTTCATTAACAGATCAGTGGACAGATGGGCCATGGACTCATAAACAGACTCATCCTCCTCGCCTTGCATCAGCTCTTCCTTAATGTGACTCTTCAGCATATCTGCAGTTTCCTGGAGAGGAAGGAGGGCAAGAAAAAAACCCATATGTTCAAGTCTCATTTAAATAAAGAATCTGGAGAATCAAAGCAAGCAAAATATATCTCACTCTCCCATTGCTGATGGAAAAAACCTTCTAAAAGCAGCCCATTCCCAAAGACTAAGGCTTCTCAAAGGAATTAAATCCCCACTACAGCTGTCTGGGCCCAGCCTTCAAGATCTATGTTGAACAGGTAACGAATGTGAAAAGTTGGTGCTGACACATTCTGAATAGCCATTACAGCTCACTCCCTCAATTTCATGTCCTACCTGATCTCTGCAAACTCCTCAAACATAAGTAAAGCTCAGTCTAAAAATACAAATGCTCGTCATATAATGTTTTGGGGTAAGCGTAGCTGACCATAAAGGGGAAAGCTTGCCACATGTGGAGCACTTATAAGAAAGCAAAGTTTTAGCTTTGGTGTAGATTCAGTTTCAGTTTCTTGGCCTTAGCAGCAGCACATAACACCCAGAGTGGGAGTACACAGACCCTTTTCTGTGAGACTAACAGGAAACCTCACAGCAGGCAGCTGTTCATGTAATACAGGCAACTTTCGATTCACAGGACAGCAGAAACCTTTCTCACATATTTGCAACATGGGGTGGGGGGACTGGGAAGGGAGGGCAGTGCACCAAACCACTCAAGGGAGCAAAATTCAAAGCTTCATCCCAGCCTCCTCTCCAAGTTCCAACTATGTCACAAGCACAGCCATAGTTGCAGTACTACAAGATATTCTTCCATCTACAACCACGACCCCATGGGCCTTCAATCCACAGGGCAGGTGTCAAAACTGTCTACACATGCTTCCCTCCACAGTCAAGATGGATCAGGCAGGTAGCTCATGCGATGCTTTGGAAAAGTGTGGAGGGACTTTTGCCAGAGAGAAAATAAGGTGAGTAAAGGGGTTTACTGGGATTTTCAGATATCCATACTAGATATCAGATCATTTGTTTGCTCTGGTACTAAGCTGCACAGATAGCTTCATGGTCAGTAAGCTGGACCTACTCTTAACACAGCTCTATCACTGTGCCGGTGGAAAGGAGGACATGGGAGGAGCACAGTATTGCAGTAAGAGGTTGGAAGGACTTCCTAAGCATCTCTCACTTACCCCAGTGCAAAGATTTTAATCACACAATTTACAGTTTCTGCAGCCCTCCTGATGTCAGAACAGGGAATGACTTTTATTTAGCTCTAGTATATATATAACCCTAAATTTATGCTTATGTGAAGAAGCAAATCCCAAGTCTAAGAAGGACCCATGCCTCCAAAATAGGGCTTAAACACTACTGTAATTGGCCTGCAGAACCACACTAAGGCTGGCAGATCTATCACCCACCATTAAGACAACTGTTAGGGACAATTACACACAACTTTTCAACTAAAAGTCAAGGGAAATAAAATCTGTTCAAGAATTCACATGATCTGAGTCAAGGAGCTACTCGTTATTTTGAAGCATACAAGCTGAAAACAACTCAAATGGAAAAGAAAGGTGTGCATGGGGTTTATCCTAAGCACACCACAGAAACAATTGCCTGGTGCAGGTGGAGACAGGTCCATGTCATAATCTGGAAAGGTCAGAGTGCTGTTTTCTGGGGATGGGGTTAGCTCAAAGAGAACTGAAATGTGAATTGAGCTCCCGGAATGAACAAGTAGGGAACGGACAGCTATTCTAACACAGGAAGGAATGGATTTAAAGTGGAGCTGGCAGACTACACAGATCAGCTGTGAATGAGCTAATAAGCAATCCAGACTGTACTATGACTAATCAGAGAGCACCTCAGATTGTACCTTCCCAAACATATTCTGTTCCCATAATTACTCCCCAAAGTAAGTGGGATGAAGGGGCTATAGTTTTCCCAAGATCAGAGGTTAGAAGAGTACAGCAACCACATCCATGCACAAACTTCATTGGATGGATGGATGATAAGGAAACCCAGCATGGCAGTCTCTGATTCCATCTTATTTGCTCTGTGGAAAAGCCCCAAGAACTTCCCCAGCTCCAGAGATGCACCCAACCCTCCAGCCTGGAAGCTTTCAGGGTGGCTGAATGTCTGTCTTCTACACCCTACCACACCACATTGCACCCTTTATTACCCCATCACTCCTGCTCCCACAACACTAAGTGTCAAGATTGGTGCCACTGCCCACACTTGCTGTGGGAAAAAGCAGAGGGACTGCTGCTTCCTCTTACCACATATTCATCAATGAATTGGCGGAGGTCCTTAAAGCCATGCTTTTCTGCTATGGTGTTTGGATAGTGGCCATATTTGTTGGCTACACTGTAGGCCTGCAGTGCTCCAGGGCATGTAAGCAGCAAGGCGGTGAGGTTCTTCAACCCGTATCTTGCAGAAAAGTGAAGCAGTGTTGGCAACTCCTCATCCCTCTGATCTGTGAGAACAGGAGCCTGTTAGAATCTAAGCTTCTCTCTAGCAGCAACAAAGCCAGTAGGTGAGAAACAAAATTCCTAGCAAACACATAGACCAAAGCAGGTATGAAAGCCCTGAAAAGCATAGATACAGTTTCAGAATGGAGCTAACTCTGCACAAATTAACTGACTTATCTAGCTGATCTCCAGGCTTAAGTCCTATGACGTTTAGTGGGGAATCTGGCACTGTAATAGCTTAATGTGTGTAGGATCACAGGTTTGCAAGGAACTCTTAGATCATCATTCCAGTAGGACCCAGTTGCTGTAAGGCAACCATTCATGGTGCCACACCAATCCAGCTGCTGGGTGCCCACTGTGCACCTTAGAGCAGAGTCATGGGGTTGGGGGAAAAGGACTGAGCTGGGGAAAAATGCCACATGGGACTGGGAGAAGAACAAGGGAGAAAACATGGGAGACTTTTGGGGGAGCATCATTTTTTCACTTTGGTTGTGTTTGAAGCTGTGTACATAGCTGCATCTGTCACAGTGCAAGGAAGTGAGACTGATGCGTGTAATAAAAAAAGGGTCACCCGACCCAAATGGCAATGCCCTCTCTACACGCATCATCAGAAATTTAGCCTCCTGGATGAGATCCAAGATTTTTGAGACAGCCTATGCAGGTACCACACACTGCAGTGTTAAGGCACTCCAAGGTAAAACGACTGATACAGATGAAGTTTAAAAAGAAAACAAAAATATTTCAACTTACTTGTTGTCATATCTTCTTCTTCCAGCTGGTTGATTCCAAACAGGTGTAAGCCACTGGCAGGAATATTCTTCTTGAGTGACTCAGTCAACAGTTTGTCCAGTGCTTCTATGCTGTATGGAACAATTTTAAAAGCCTAGAGATAAATGGAAAGTGATTTTGTTTGAGGGAGTCTGGAGATTCAGTTAAGGTGAGATTTATAAGGTGTTTCTTTATTTAGCACATATCAGAAAACAGTAGGCATAAACACTGAAAGTAGCAATGTTCAGGTCAAGCAAAGAACATGAATAGCTTCCTGGTCCAGAAACAGAGTATCATTAATTGGAGCAGAGGAGAACCATACACTCCACAAAAAGACAGAGTACCATGAGAAAACTCACTCATGCAACTAGAAGCACAGAAAACTGTTACTGTCTACTTCCTTGACAGGTAAAATCTTACTCTGAAACTGTTCCAATGAAGCGTCACTCCTGCTCTAAGTACAAACTAGTCTATTTTGAATTGCTCTGGTGTACACTCTGGGTTTGGCTTTTGGACTGATTCTTAGCCAAAGACTGGGAAGCATGCCTATTCCCCAAGTAGAGGCACAGCCCAGTACCAACTGCTCCATAACTTGGAACTAAAAAGAAGGGAAAGACAGTCTCCCCTGACTCAGGTTTGCTGGTGACTAACACTACTCTATACGCTTCCACTACACGGCTGATCAGGGACATACAGGCAGGCAGCAAAGACAACACATCTGGAGAACTTGCTTGTGCAAACTTTACCCCTCTGACAGGGTTCAGGTACCACAGCTGTGCAAAATATGGTATGAGAACTGAGGAGTGGCTTTAAAGAAATAAGTGCTAAGAATAAACAAATCATTTTATGTTACTCCATTCAGCTAGTATCAATCTCTGCTACCTTTTCACATGTTTTCCAAGAACCCTCAGGTACAAATTTCCAAACAATTTATTTCTTTATGGTACTTTGTTATATCAAGTTCTGTCATCCCAATCTTTTTAAGCCATCGAGGTCTAAATGTGAGCGTTGATTGACTGCATATTTTTTTTTAGCTGGATGGCCTGAGTCACCTTAGCCAGCTATTTGCTCCAGAAAGATCACGCATGCTTTTGCTAAAAGGGGATGTTAAGGTTATGTGAAAATCCCTACATGACCTTGCATTTCTTCACTTCAGAAGAGCTACTTCATGGCAAGCATTTTTACTTATGTCCGCTTGTCTAGCCTCTGAAATAACTGGTTTCCAAAGCAGCTATTTGCTAGAGTCATTACCTGGCACATGAACTGTACGGGGTTGGCTGCATTAGCCAACAGACTGCTAATTTCCTCCATGTCGGTATGATAGGTGATGCTTGTCTCTCCCACCATCAATTCCCCTGAATATATCTGCAGAGGCACTGTCCCAGAGGTTAAATCTTTGAAAAGAAAGAGAAGACATCACTGTTAAGAACAAGCAATGGGAATGAGTCTGCATCAAATACCCTGAGGATAGGAGGAGTTTGGAGATACTGCCAGTGGCATACCAAAACAGTTTCTATTGTACTGAATTCATGAAGAGTCATGAAAAAAAAGGAGATGATGCTGGTCTGAACACTAGGTAGGAAAGTACTCTGGAACTACCATCTTCATAGATATGTCAATGTACATCACCTGTGACCTGCTAGGTCCTCTGCTAACAGTTGTCTGGACCACCAATATTAACAGTACACTACCTCAAACTAGAATGCCTCATGTCTCTCCACCCCCAGCTTTCCCTGGAGCAGTCTCTAAACCATGCCATAAAATATGAGAGCTGGGGAAGAAGGGGAGAGAAACCAGAAAAGTCACTAGGGATTTTGCAACCCCTGTCAGCCTCACTAGTCTCTGAATGAAATCAACTTAAAAGAATTCCAGCTTTACAACTTTACCCATGCACAGGATTTATCTCCTACCTGCACCTTGGGAGCTTCTTGATGTTTTGTCCAGTGTACATTCATAGGTCTGAACTTTCTCTTTGAAACACAAATATTTTGAATCCTACTGAAATTAATCTTTCCCTGCTTGGCTGTTAACAACTCAGGAAATTATGAAATAGTTCAGTCACATGCTAAAGGAATTAAAAATATATTTCTCTTACTGCTAGAAACTGCAGAGTTTACATAGTTGTACACTCTATCAACGTGCAGGTCACACTTATAATTCAAAGTGCAAGTTAGTTTCCAGGTCCATGTTTAAATTATAAGTCTTGATTTAAGACAGATTAAGTTGAACATTTTTATGTGGGTGAGGTCACCTTCTTTAAATCAATCCACCTCACTGACTTTACAGAAGTTGCTATAATGACTATTAGTCTCTATTTTCAGAGCTGGCACAACGACTCTTCAAGACGACAGACCAAAGTAGATAAAATAACATCATACTGGGAAATACTATGAATCTGTAAGGCACCAAAACCTTGCCCCTAAAGTTTAGTGAACCTAAAGTTTAGACAACCTACGGTTTTGTAAATGTAAATACCTAGAGTGACAGAACATACCTAAATTAAAAGGCAAGCCAGGATAAATAGTTTCAACTCTGATCACAGAGAGATCATCACACATTAAGCACATGTTGTTATAGTCATGCAATTGTTTACTGGCACTTACCTTCTCTCGGTGCCCTGCCAATGCTAATGTTGTGGTGGTTATAACACACAGTTAAGTTCAAAGTGCTTTACAAGCTGCAATCTACTCTCAGAACTCCCAGTAAGGTGTTTTCACACTGCAACCCTGCCTCAGCTGAGGGGAAAACAGAGCCCCCAGGCAGCAGTCTATCTCAGTTCCTCATCACAAAACTATCATAGATGAGAATGCAAGTTCAAGATTTCCTGGCCTCAAGTTTTCTTGTGTTGCAACCTTTACCTTTATCCCTCTGGCACTTTTCAGGACAGGCAGATTGAGATAGAAAGGAAGCAGTGGAGGGAGGAGAGGAGGAAAATCTCAGCCCAGCTTACTTGGAGCCTCCACAGAGATTGCGTACTCATTCTCCACCTCAGCTGGCACACGCACAGATGATGCATTCTCTGGAGAGAATTCAACTTCAGTTTTCACTTTGCCATCTAGTTTACATTTCATGATAATATAAACTGTTGTCTGCACCTAAGAGAAAAGGCATTACAACATGCAGGTTCACAACATAAGAACACTTACTTTGTTAAGTCCCTTTTCTAGGGATTTTGTTGTCATTGCCACTAACATAAATTATCATCTGTCATTTTCACGGTCCTGAATGGTTTTCAGGAGCATCTTCCAGTCAGAGTAACTGGGCATATGGCTTTGTAACAGCTTACACCAGCATAGATACATGCATTAAGCTGACAAAACTCCAGATTTATCAGCTAGATTTACAAACTGAATAAGCTAGATTTATAAAATTATTTAGTTTCAACTCTATCAGTCTCTTCCCCCAAGCAGCACAGCCCTGTTCTGAACACAAACAAAGGACGAAACTTAAGACTTTTCCCATCTGAGGGAATGCTACACTAAGAAATGCTGTTTTTCAGACAGGAAGCCATGATCCAAGCTCTTTGGAGTCACTTGCAGGACATGCACCAGAATTGTCATATTAGACTGCATCCAGGCTGTGGAGTTAATTGGTTCATTACAATCACCTTACTCCACTTGCCACCCCTAAATCTTACCAGAATGGAAGATGGGAAGTCAGGAGTGTGAACGTGCCTTACAGCACACAAGACAAGCAGCTATGTTAATGAGACTATCTGTCAATAAGTGACATTGCAGCCTAGACAACACTGGGCACTGCATGTTACCAAGCTACTTCTGGGCCTATGGAACTGAACTCATGAAACAGAGACACTGAGTACAAGGAGCTGAGAGGGAAGGTGACAGAAAAGGAATTAGGGACTAACTCCCAGGCCTGTAAAGCTGTCCATTACAGAGCAGCATAATGGGTTGCAACAGCCCACAGTAAGAACATAGCCCAAGGAGCGGGCATACAGTACCCCACACCGTATGCGGTCAGGCTGCACCACCGGATGGTCCCCAGTGCTCTTGGATGATCCATGTTCTTCACTCATGGCAAGTCTGTGGGAGTAAACTGGGTTCTTCTCGTCTTCTGTTTCTGTATCAGTCACAGAGTCACAGCCTGAGTCTAAAATAAAGCATACAGAGTTCTGTTACATCACTCCCCTTTGCTGAAAATGCGCATTGTACAACATCCATCCTGAGAAACAGCAAGGCAGGTGGTGGGGTGGAACTTGCTGCTCTTCTCAAAGTAATGCTGAGAAAAGGGGATCTAGCTGAAGAAAGGGAAACTACAGAGCTTCCTCTTTTTTCCCCTTAAGAGGATTGCTGGGAAACATTCACAAAGACACAAAAGTGCTGGAGTAGCACTGAACATGCTTACAAAACAAACAACAATGCCACTCTGCTGAGATGGATAGTCCCTTCTCATGTTAGATAGGAAAATTAGTATGTCAATGTCTAACATAAGAATGATCGGCAACTGGACTCATCTGACTCCAGCTGCACTCCAAGTTCATTGTAGGATGGGCAGCAGCCTTTAGTCTTCCTCTCCTAAAGTAAATGAAGAAAAACAACTTTTATTTCAGTAGTATCTTTAGTTTTCTGGATCCTGCTTATGTTGCTCACCCCAACGCCCACGTTCATTATTGTGTTGACAAAATACAACATGAGGCAGTAATCTGAAGGGATCCCATTCCTCCAGCACAAACTGTAAGCTCCTGTATCTATACAAGACTGAAACTGAAATGTACCAGAGCCTTTGCATTGAAGAATAACAGTATTCTAGCCAAGCAGACCCAAGAGTAGAAGTAAACCCATGCAACCCTACAATCTGTGTTTACAAAACAATGTTCTCATTCCTGTTCCCCAGTAATAGCACAGATATTGATGGAAGAGCAAACAAACTGAATTTATACCACTGGCTGCAAAAAAACCTAGCAAGAATTAAAATAGGTTACAGGTCTCCTACCACTGCCAGGAAATACTTTCCTCAACTAGAGAAAGGAAACAACAGATGATTTTTTTATCTACTTAGTAGAGAGTGCTTTCTTAGCTAGTTTCTACCTCTTGATTCATGATTCACACCTTTTTTCCCCTGTCCCCCAAAACATGGGGTGAAAGACACTGACTTCTCCTTGTCAGAAGACTAGCATGAATTCTTAAAACTCTATCTCCCATGGCCAAAATTTTCCAAACCTTGGAAAACTGTGGAGCAGTCAAGGATTTAAGATAACATTTTGGAAGTTACTTATTATTTCCTACTTACCTTAAAACACAACTGTAAAGAGCAGTATGAATTATTTACTAGATAAAAATCTCAGATTTGGACCAGCAGAGTTTTTATATGAGTAAGAAATGTTCTATTTAAAATGCTCAGTCCTGATGAGAAAGTCCTACGTGACCAACTGCACTGTCTAACCTGTGGCATCCATACAGTGAAGCTGCCAACAGTCCAGGTTTTACTCAGAATCCCCCACCTCTGGGTACCTCAAGTTTCCACAAATCAAGAGAGCCAAAGTTATTAAGGCAGGCTTCTATTAGGAGCTCATGTCCTGCTAGTTTCAAACAGTGTAGCTAGAAGTCAGTCAGGTATTTAAATCTAGACTTCATCATCATCATCATCATTATTATTATTATCAAAGACTTAAACTTAGGACATTTGAAATTCTGTCATGTACACCTTCCCCCCCCCCCCCATATTTACTATATATTTGAGTTTTATGAATTATATGAATGCAACTTTGTTTTCAGGAGATGGGTTTTAAGCCACAAAATTTTACCGAATCATTCAGCCGAAATTTTTGTCACAAACAGTGGTGCACTTACACTTAACTTTAAGTATGCAAATCACTCCACATGGCAAGCAAGCCTACTCACGAGTACAAGTAGATTGCTTCATTAATGTTTGCTGTAGAAAGAGTAGAGCCAAAAATCTGCAGCTCTAAAGTTCAAGTAAGGCATCACCACCACCACTGACATTTCTTAAAAAAACCTAGAACAGTACATGTAATTTAGCAAATAGATTTTAATACTGCACCAACACAGATCTGCAGATTTGACTAAGAAACTACTTTGACACAAGGCTACATACTGACGGTGGTCTTTTGGATTTTCAGACAGTCGTACCAAGTGTTACAGAAAATGGACTGAGGTTTTAAATTCCTTTATTCAATATTTTAATTGATACTGTCCAAAGTCACTAGCTGCAAGAGCCAGACCGCAGTTTAGGGAACCCTTCTTGTAGGGAAAGGTGGACTACTCCCACCTGGGAGTGCCAGGCTGCCCAGCTGCCCAGCAGAAAATAAAGCACTGGTCCCACATCATTCCCTTACATGATAGCTATCACATCAGGTGCTTGGCATATACAGAGCAAGACACCATGTCTTTCAGGGAGGAGAAGAAGAGGCAACTGTTAATAGAATAGTGTCTCTGTAATCTCTGTTGGTTATTTCCAGTATGATTAAATCAGAAAGACTAAGCTCACCGCAGATAAGAGAGATCCAGTGATGACCAAATTACAGCAAAACATTAATGTTCCTGCAACATATGCACAAGTTGACACTTGCCAGCATCCTGATACTAAGGGCATCATTCCCACCCCAATACGGAACCATTAGTGTGGTAATTTGTACCTCACTTGCCCAAAATATGGTCCATTTCAGAGGAAAATGAAACCTAAAGCTGTGGATCTCAGCTACAACATCTACAGTAAGCAAGGATAAGAGGGAAGCAAGGAGAGAACAAGCCCCCCAGTCCCTCTGCTTTACTGATGTTATTTGATAATAGAAACAAATTAGCAGATAAAGAATAACTTGAGCTTTTAAGAAATTCTGGCATTGCCTGATCCTGTCTTGCACTTCCACATTCTTGCAACAGAGTTGACTGCCCGGAGCTCATATGTAAGAACAGAGCTGTTGGGTAATATGGGAAAAAGCAAGCAATGTTAATCAGTAATTGGATTAACAGCTGACAGAACAGGCACTCGGAGTCTCAGGTATGAATCATGCATCTGTTTTGTTCATTCAGAAAATTCTGAAATTGCAAATTACCAACTTCCCACATAAGCAGTGAAGTGATGCTATGGTCATCTTGCAAGTTCCAGTCATGTCCTACTGACCTGTGAACATGCAAGCAAGCACTGGAAGAGGAAACCATCCCATTACATTCAATAACATCCATGCTCTAAAGGGACATGTTGTTAGATCAGGCTTCCCACTCACTAAGATACTTGAGTAATGACAACCCATTTGCATATACAGGTTCAGCAGTTATATCATTGTGATGATACCCAGGTTAGAGAGGCCATCACTGAGGAGATCAACAGACTCATTAGAAAGCTAAGTGAATACCTGAATTGAGCTTCTCCATGAGCAGCTGCTGTAGGTCAACAGCTCGTGGTTATAAATGGCTCTGCCTTGACTGGAGGGCCTTTCCGTTCCCCTTTAAACAGAGGCTACCTCAGGCCACGCTCGAGTCTGTGAAATACTTGTGAGAATAGCAGCAAGGGGAGGAGATGTGGTCCAAGAAACCCAACCACATTTCCCCTTGAAGAACGTGTCCCCCTCCAGGAAGTGTCAGTAGCAGCGCTGCAGACAGCAGCCCTGTGCCGGCCACATCTTGCCTGCCCTGCCAGGCTCCCCGCACAGCTGCCCTGCAGAAACTCACCCCCTGGGAAAGCCCAGGGAAAATGTAGGCATGGCCATGTGCTTCACGAGCCATTTAGTAGCTTTAAAACTAATAGGAAGCAGGCAGTTATTTTGACATGTTGCTGTACAGCGCATGCAGCTTGCTCCGTCATCCATTTCCTCCTGGCTAAGCTGGCAGGCTATCAGCATGGAGCTGACAGCTGTGGTTTCTGAGAAGTCAGCCCTTACACCACAGAACACGTTAATGCTCAGAAAGAGTCAGCAGCCTGTCCAGACCACTCTGCCACCCAGATATTAATGCAAATGGCACAACTGGACAACAGCTTGTCCCTATAGGTTCTGCATGTGCGGACTACCCCCTCACCAGCATCTGTGAACACTTCCCACTCCGTCCATCGACCAGCTCACCAGCTGAGACAACTAGCTTTCACAAGGCCTCAGACTTTTATCTCAGTACACCCAGAGCAAGAGGGAGGGCCCTCAAAGAGAGCTCCTGCTATCACCTGAAGCTTGCAACCAGCCAGCCTCCTTTTCCAAGTGTGAACAAGGACATTAAGTCTCCCACAGCAACTCCAGCTGCATTTGTGAGAAGCAGGCAGAGGACTGACAAAGTAGTTAGGGAAAGCAAGGAAAGTGACTCTTCATCATGCTAACCTCAGAGCCCCTGCTTTACCAAGGACATACACACTCAGCAAGGAAACCTCCTGCAATAACCCCTCAAAACTGGGTTATACTGTAGCAACATTTTCCCTTTCAACAGAGTGGAGAGAAGCATGCAGAAAAGCCGCAGATGAGAAGAAAAAACACAGGAAAATGTAAGACTTTGTAAAACTGTCCATACAGAACAAATAATGTATAGGACATCTCCCCCTTCTCTCCAAACGCCTCACTCCAAGCACCTCATCTACACGCATAGCACCTGAAAACAGATTTTCAGTTCTACAAAGAAAGTGGTCATGTTTCATTTTGCCCTGTAAAGTTGGAAGTGACAACAAACTAGTTCTCATCCTCCAACACAGAAACAAGCTGTATTTTACTATGCCAAGTTTTGCTTGAGCCAGTGTGTGCACACACACTTGTGCATCTCATAAGGAAGCTGTATCCTTATGAAGAATACAACTGGGTTATCAAGACACTTGTTGACAGGACCAGTGTTTCAGCAAATTGTGAGAAGCCAGAATGTAAGTTGTGTTTACCTTTGTAACCCACTAAGACAATATATCTCCTTAATACTCAAAAACACACATTACTCCACAGTTCCTCTATAAAGCACATCTTGTCCAAACTTCAAGGAACTTCACTTCAAGGAAGTGAATGCATCTGTTCACTTTTCTTGGTTCAGTGTTCCCAAATGCTGCTTCCAGTTATTTTTTAATTTCATCTTTGAAACAAAAAGGATTTGGAGAAAGCTGAGTCACCAAAAGTTGTTTACAATGCCAAGGGCAACTCCATGTCACTCCTGTAAATACTGGAAGGCAGAGATGAGAAAGTGGCCAATAAATACCATACTTGGGTTGCAGGAACAGGAAACTCAGCACATAGTTCTGAGAACAGTGAGGTTAAGCAAGGAAAGTCTGAAAAGCCACAAGAGTGGAGAGGACACAGAAGAGAAAGCAAGAAGAAAAAATATGAAAAATGCCAGACACTAGAAAAGAGTGGTAAAATAAAAACCTCAAGCAGATGGGGAATTGGCAGATAACAAGAAGGTAACCCACAGGATCAAAGGTACCTTCTGTGGGAATATTCCTGTTTAGGGACAAATGTCACCAGTAACTTCCAGTTGGCCACTTGGGCTGAGCGCAGTTTTTAATTATTCCTGGCACTCATTATTCATGTCAGATGACAAACAAGACTGAGGAGGCAAAGTCAACTGCGAAGCAACTGCGATCAGACTGTTGCGTACAACCATCGCACCTCACATGACATTTCCTGATGTGCAGAAACACAGGTAGGAATCCCAGATGGGAAGTCCTTCCTGCATTAGCAATGGATGGAAATGGGAACTGGATTAACACACCATTGAAAGTCTTGTCATGGATACAGTGTCACACAGGTAACAACTGGGAAACTGCCTACGTCACATCATCTGCCCCAGCAATGCTCCTCAGCCTCCTCTACCTTGACTGCAGATGACTACTGGATCGGCTCTTACAGTTCAGCTTGGGATCACTGGTCTCCATCCCCCTCTTCCTCAGTAGCTCAGGAAGGTACACTCTTGGTCTGTAATGCTGCAGGTTGCATGAAGGCACCATCCACAAAGACCTATCACTGGGAAGTTTCACAGAAGCTCAGCCATTTCCCCAGGATGACAAGACAACACTCAGTAATCCTATCACAGATTAAAGAGGAAATTGCAATTTGTGACTTCTGCAAAACTCTTCCAAACTTACAGCCCTTGTTCATTCACTAGCAGCCTTGAGCTGAGAGCAGGAGATGTTTAACGTAAAGAACTGGATGCACTTGAGATAAGATTGACTCTTACAGCTGCAACATGCAAGACCTCAGGGAAAGCACACAGTCTGAATCCAGCACAGGTTTTCCTCCAACCCCAGTAACAGACAGATGTTCCCCAACTACAGACCCCTCAAAATACTGTTCTGAGATTGTGCCAAATTCTGCTCTTACAAACCTCATCAGATGACCTTGCACAGTCCTGGAGAACAAATGTCTTCTTCCACTGCCTAATAAAGCACAAGTACCAACACTGCCCCTACAAGCGCCGTTACTTGTCCAGAAAAGACAAATGCACAAAAGCTCAAACACACACCTTACTCCAGAGTTATCCTGGCTTAGTGAGTCTGCTGAGTTGAAAAAAAAAAAAAAAAAAAAAAAAATCTGTGCATTCATCTGGGGGCAGATGTTCACAACATAAAGCTACAGCAGTTTAAAATACAACTGCACCCGTCACAGCCCTCCTTCCCCTTCCTGTTTCCCCTTCTTGTCTTTATTTTCACCAGAGGCTATGGCCCACACAGCAGAACCAGTGGAAAAGAGCACGTGTTTGGCTGCGTCAGTGAGATGCAGGACCAGGATCTCTGCTTCAGCAGCTGACAATGGGGGTGTAAACTAGACTGCCATTCCCTGAACTTCATGATGAGGAGGAGCATTTATACGTTTCACTCATACCTACTGCAAAGACAGTAGCTGCCAGCTCAGGGGTGAAATGCAGAGTCCTCCTTGTAACACAGAGACAACATAGTTTATCTGACCATGTCTACACTGTGCTACAAATGCGAAGTGTATTTAGCTTGTAGTTCTTTCACTAAGGTTCAAGCAAACATGTACCACACTATGCCTGCCTCAAGCTAAAAGCATGCCTGGCTATTATGGTTCAGAAACTGCAAGCCAACTCATTATAATTCTTTGAGCTCTCAGCCTGAGGTTTCTCACAGGCCTAGTGGTCAATTTGTGACAGGATTAAGTGTACAAACCTAAAGAACTAGCTGGGGTGCACGGGAACAGGACAGAGGTGGGAAAGAGCTTCTGAGGAAGATACAGGGTTCTGGCCACCCAGACAACAGACACTGTGTACATGACCAAAATCTCAAGAAAGAGGGGCTGGAATAGTTCACTTCAACCCCCTGTGCCATGAGACAACACATACTGAAATAGCGTTTGCGTGGCTGATGATTTTTACAGGTGCCAAGAATCACATTACATCTGTCACTGATTCAAGTCTTCCTGAGCAACCACATGCAAGAAACATGAACATCCAACTTGCTGATTAATTATCTCTCCTCTTGCAGTATCTCCTTGCTTCAATTTAAGCACAATGCATAACACTTGTATGACAGAAAAGACTGGCCACATAAAAGCACACAAAGCTGGAATTCCACCTAAGAGAGCTGGGTAGCTGTTTTGGAAACATCCCACCAGGAGATCCCTGTTTGACTGAAGGTGTGGTTCTACAAGTGGCTTCAGTAGATCTAAGGGCACATTACTACTGAAAGGGCAATCCTGCCCTCCCACTCCTTCAAACAGCTTCTCTTGGAATACCACTCTTGCAGTCCAGTGCCACACCAGATCATTCAGCCAGATGAAAGGTGAAGAATGAGGCAGACAACTCTCTTTTGCAGAAGTGCATGCTAAGGTCTGCCTGTGCCACTGATGAAACTTCCCCTAGGAAACTCGAGATCCACTGTTATTCTCAAGTCACTTTTGAAAAACACATTGAAAGCTTTCTGCGGTAATAATGAACAGCCATGAAAATCCTACAAAATGTAACTCTAGAAGCAAAACAACTGTTCAAGTGCACAACAAAGGTCTTTGAAACAACCTGAAGTCTGCCCACACATCTCTTCAGACCTGCTCTGTAAAGCATCTTTGATTTGACCACACACTTCTGCAAAGATTTTGCAGAAATTACTTCAGCTGTTCCAAACTTGGAAGAAGCCATCAGTGATGGTCACTGGGCTCTTACTTTAAGCAGGTGCTTTAAAGCCTTGCAGTTCACATTGGCAGATACTTAGAATTAGGCTTAATCACTACCTTAAAGCAACCTGTGGGGAGATTATCAGAACTATAAGCTACAAAGAAATATGATTAGTATTTGCGATGTGCATAAGGTCTGTTACAGCCCGATGCTTCCTAACCACACCAGTTTCTGTACTTTACTAGTTCCAGGCTATCATTTCACTGTCTCTGTCTAGAAAGCTCCTATGCACCTATACAAGCACTTCTTGAATCTCATACTGTCATGAAAGAGGAGCCGTGAAGTATTGCTTTTAATGTGCATAAACTAGGACTTTATGAAGCACCTTGATGACAAACAATGCATCCATCCTGCAGCTAGGAAGACTATTTCAACTGCTCAATCTCGTTTGCTGCAGATGGATAAGGACATTCATGCATTTCTCTCAATATCACTTGGGGGCTTAGTTATGGTTTCTCTGATTGCTTTAACCAGCTCTCTGAAGTCTCTGTGTTTCCAGCATCAAGTAATTTATAACCATACTAGCATCTGCAAGGAAAGGCATGCTACCAGTATGTTCTCTCAACCTTAACTCCTGTGCAAGAGCGTCACAGTTTCCTCTCCTTGACAGGCAGTGAGAACCAGCCAGGCTGCAGAGCTCCCATATATTGAAGTGGACTCTCACTGCACCCAGAGGGCTGACTAATACCTCACCCGTTCCTCTTCAAAGAGCAGGATCAAAGAAGCGTATCTTCTATTTCAACACAATATAACAGAAAAATACCATTTTAAGAATACACTTAATTTTGCCCCTTCAAAGAGGGGAAGAAAAGAAGCAAGGGAGGGAGAGAGGACTGCAGTACAGCAGATAATCATGCTACCTCATGTCTTCAAGGCCACTCCAATAAGCTGGCAGAAATAAATGCTGGATGTAATTCCCTGAGACAGGATTACTCAGAACATATTTGTCCATAGAGCACTGAGAGCCAGAAGTAAACACCAAATGGTCCCCAGCTTCACTCTTCTCTGTCCCCTTAGGTCTGTACATTGATTCCTGTCCCTTCCTACCACCAGCTTTCTTACTTTACTGTATGTCTGATATCCAAACAGACTCTGAAGATGCAAGCAGATATCACAAACTTGGCACAGGCATCCACATCCAATCTGCAGTTTCTAGAACCTCCTAAGGGCCAAAATGGATCTTGCAGAGAATGGCAATTGCATACATCGGACTGGAAACTTCAGGAACATTGTGAGGACGTGGGCTCAGTATGAGGGCTTGAAGAGATCAGCTGGGGAGGAAAATACAATGCTAGGATCTCATCTAGGATCTCATACAAACAAGTGAAGAGACTGCAGCAGGGCTAGAGGAACATCACAGTAAGTTAGAGCTGCATGAACTAGGGTCTGCTCACAAGCTGGAGCCTCAGAGATACAGCATTAGCTCTCTAGCAATATAACAGGTCCCAAAGCACCATTTTCTCTAAGGCCAAATATTAAGGAGGTAGTTTCATAGAGGCATTGATCTGACATAGCTTCATGATCCTTCTGTAAGAAGATGACCAGGGTTGTCAAATCAACTCGCAGAACTCTTTTTGGCTGCTTTATTTCCAGGATGTATCCTTTAAGGGGGTGGCACAACTTTCCCATAAAGCACTTGACCATGTCATGCCTCTTACTGGCAGGATTACTTCCTGCATCCAATGTTCCTCAATGACCATGCCTTATGAAATTTAACAAGCAGCAGAGGGAAGAGTTGCTACAGCATTCAGGTCTTGTTCTGCCTCCACATGCAACAGCAAACTACACAGGCACTGGGAATCACACTACAGCATTCCCTCTTGTAGGAACATGTTCCCATACAGGACAGAATGGACCTGTGGGGAGGGAGGTTACATTTCCCAGTTTACAGCATCCCTTTCACTACTGCCTCACCTGCAAGTCTCAGTGTTAGGCTGACAGAGTAGTCCTGACTGAAGTGCTACCTGCCAGAAACAGACACAGCACAACAGATACAGTAGCTGCTGTCAGAGGAATAGTTACCAATGCCACTGTACAGTACGAAGCACCCACACCTGAATGAATTGTTGTAGTAGGCACCTGAGATAAGATCACCACTGTCCTATGCTGAAGGATGCAGTTCTGTTACTGTCTGGTGGCTTTTGTGGTTTCTAGTGAAAAGTTGCCCTTAAAAGTATTCAATGTGAGTTAACATATTTTTAAGGGGGAGGAAGAAAGGAAAGAGTGTTCAAATTTATCCACAATCCTATCCACAAAACTATCCTGAAATAGTTACACAGTAAAGCAGAAGGTCATCAGCACACCTAGGCCTAACATGGAGCTTGTCAGGGCAATCAAATGAATGAAGTCTGACACCCTTCCATAGAAAGACTATTGGCCCATGAGCTACTCCAGGTGAAACCTGCCTTTCGGCAGAAATCTCAAGATACGTAACAAACAGGAATTTATGTATCATCACTGAACAAATAATTTATCAATAACTCCCAAAATAACAGGAGAGCGGCTCCTGCCAAACTTAAAAATTCATTGTGAATTTAGGGCTCTAGCCCTAAATGGCAGCGATGAGCAAAAGTTAGCAATCAAATAATTACAGAAGCGTCAGGCTGAAGGGAACCTCCTGCATACTACTACTTCGTCCCCCTGGGTTCAGACACACTTGAGAACATCTTATGCATCTCTCCAATCTGACCTCAAACTCCAAGTAGCCTATTCCAAGGTTACTTTATCTTTACAGTTTGAGTCCAGCACAGGACCACAAAGATGATTAAAGGACCACAGCATCTTTCATACAAGGAGAGACTACAAGAGCTGGAACTCTTCAGCCTGGAGAAAAGAAGACTCAGGGAGATCTTATCAATGTTTACCTGATGGGAGGGAATGAAAAAGAGGGAGCCAGA